GCGAGGTAAGAGCCCATCCCGGTCCTCCTTAGGACACAGAAAAGAAAAAAAAAAAGATATGAGGCCAATCTTGACATGGTTATAAGCCATCAAATTAAAATGGACTTTAGAGCACTTGTTATAAAAGGGATGGGCCTCAGATTGGTATGATTGTTTTCTGAGCAGCTTTTTTTTTTTGAGACAGAGTCTCACTCTGTTGCCTGGGCTACAGTGCCCTGGCGTCAGCCTAGCTCACAGCAACCTCAAATTCCTGGGCTCAAGCAATCCTCCTGCCTCAGCCTCCTGAGGAGTTGGGACTATAGGCGAGTGCCACCACGCCCAGCTAATTTTTCCTATTTTTAACAGAGACAGGGTCTCTGAGCAGCCTTGGCAAAAGGGTTGGTGTGGGAGGAGTGTAGAACTATCAAAATTAAACTTGTGGCTGGGTGCAGTGGTACATGACTGTAGTCCCAGCTACTCTTGAGGCAGAAGCAAGAGGATCATTTGAACCCAGGAGTTCAAGTCCTGCCTGTGCAAAATAGCAAGACCCCGTCTCTAAAAAATAAAACAAAAAAAATTGTTTAATTGAGCTTTGTCATTAGAATAAAAAAATTTAGAAGACACTTCAATGATGTTAGTCTAACATAAAAAAAATTTTAGGCATTAAACATCTACTGTATTACAGCCACTATGTTGGTCCTTTTATGTATATATCTCCTTTAATTACCACAAAATCCTTATGAGGTAGGCCTTTATTATTCCCATTTAACTGATAAGATATCTGAAATGCAGAATGGTTACATGAGGCTATGAAATGATGAAACTATGATTCAAAGCTGGACTTCTCTTACTGTAGCAGAGTTATCTTTTACAGTGCGGAAACACGATCTGTATTATTCCTGATAAATAATTAGTTATTTAATGGTAAATATGGAGCACTCGGCACAGAATAGATGAACTGCAGTCCTTTCCTCAGAAAGCTCCAGCTTCTCTTCATATTCCCACAGCTTTAATAGCTAAAACCCATTTCCTGTGCTGTCATATTTCTCTTCACCCTGATTTAGTCATCTCGAATCAAAAGCTAACTGTTTCTTATAAAAGAGGAACATAACTCTTTATCATTGATTTTGAATTAATATAATTCTCACAGTATGGTCGCAGCACTTCTCCAGTGCATCCTTCTCTGTACCAGTAGGTTTTGTCTCCCACAGGTAGCACCAGTGACATACCTGCGAATGAGCAGCCAACCCAAGCTATACACAGCCCAAGGAAGGACTTTGTCAGCCTTTCCCTTGGGCATGTCTCTCACCTTCATTGTTCAGTTTTATAATAGCATCGGAGAGAAATTCCACACACACAATACCCAGCTTTATCTGGCTCTGAACAGGTACGGAAGTCGAAGGAATGGTGTTGATGCTGTGGTAGAAACCTTGCAGGTCAGGCTAGTATCGTATAGCAGCTCCAATAAATTCCTCTCACATTCTGAACTTGGAATATAATCTTTATTTCTTTCATTAAGATTTAAAAAAAAAGACCAGACTCAGTTAAAGAATGGTATTAGTAGTTGTTAATGAAGAAAAATTTCAGGATGTTTTAAATCTCTCAAGTCCTAGTTCACAGGAAGACCCATAGGGAGCTAATTGGAGTATTATTATCAAAAAGCTTTACAGAGAATTAAAAAAAAAAAGCCTTACCTGGCACTATACATAGGAAGGTAATAGACTGATCCTTGGCCTGTACTTACTTCCTCTCTGTTGTGGAATTCCTTCTGAACTTTTGAGCTATTGAATATAAAATGTTGTGATAGGGTCTGACCCCAAAGCTGTTTCCTAACTATTGTCTCTTTTTAGAGATTTCTACTTTTCATGTCTACTTTCAGAGATGACTTGCTGCTTATTGGACCAGGGAATAGGAACTATACTTACATGGCCCAGGCTGTGAACAGAGGGGTGACACTTGTGGGGCTGTGGGACCGGAGACATCCAGGCATGGCAGATTATATTCCTGTTGCTGTAGAGCATGCCATTGAACCAGACACCAAGCTTACCTTTGTTGGAGATGTCATCTGCTTCAGTACTGACCTGGTCAGCCAGAATGGTCTGTATACCTTCCCCTTTTCAACCTTACCACTGACAGCTGTGAGGATTAGAAAGCAACTAATCCCTTAGAGGATTTTTTCCCAAATTATCTAAAATCTGAGGGCCTCTCTGAGGAAGAAAATACTTTTGAGTGTTTTATTATTTGTCATGTTAACAAATAATTCTCAGCTTAATGCCCGTTTTGCTCAATAGCCAGCCAATTAGAAGTTAGCCAGTAATATTTATCAAGTGCCTATTGGATACACAGCTTTATTTTATATTATGTAGATAGTGCAGGGTACCGTGCCTTCTCCTCCATTCCCTGCTTTTGAAGGAGAGTAATTGCTAAATTGAAGAACAGTAAAGGATGAGAAATAAAATAAAATGAAGGAAATGGCGATAAGGCTTTAATTCTAAGAACCAATTGTGTGTATACTACTTTGTGAGGCACGTTTAAAGGCCTAACTCCTAACATATCTTTTTTTTTTTTTTTT